AGATAGATAGATAGATAGATAGATAGATAGATAGATAGATAGATAGATGATAGATAGATAGATAATAGACATTAGAGATAATAGATTATATAGATTGATTGATTGATTGATTGACTGATTGATTGATTTGTGGATAAAGTGCTCTGTTCATTGAGTTCTTCATGTTCTCTGCAGTTGCTGGTAAAAAGGCCTAATTTACACCTGCAGCCTCATCCTCTACCTTAACTTGATTATCTCTCACAAAGAATCTTGCTGTGTTTAAATGTCAGTTGCATCATGGATGGAAATTTTGTCCATCATCAAAAACGTTCTATAGATTTTGATCCTGTATTCCTCTTTTGTTTTTCTCCCCCAGTGGGCTACCATTTATTCCATATCTGGATAACTTGCCAAACTTCAACCGATCAGTTGATGGACCAATCAGGCTGCCAATTGTTGATAAATATAAGGTACGTAACTAAATAAACATGTGGAATATTTATATTTATGTCGATCAATATAAGGTACGCTTCCAACATGAATGTAGTAGTCGCAGTTACGCAAGTTAACCTGGAAAGCATAAAACTTGCTTTAGGGGGCCAGTCACATGGCACAGCCAAGTTAACTCTTGATAAGGGAATCAGACCGTGTTTTGACCATATTCTCCTAACCTGGTTGGTTTTTTTTCTCATTCTCTCCCTCCCCCACATGAAGGATATGGGCACGGTGGTCTTGGGAAAGCTGGAATCAGGGTCTATGTGCAAAGGACAGCAGCTCGTGATGATGCCAAACAAGGTATACATATTTTCTCTTTAAGCCTCTTTGCCTCTTTCAGATCTAGCTGTTGTGGCCCAGTAGCTTTGGACAGTGACGAGGTTGGGGAGGAGGATGGGCCTGTCCTGGAGTCTGGGGAAGGCTCTGATGAGGGCTCTGTGTCGAAGGCAAAGAAGGGGGCCAGGGCCGTCTGTCAGTTATCACCTGCCTTTAGAGTCAGACTTCAGTGGGGCAGAAAAACAACTGGAGCCTGTTCCCAGTGTGCGCAGGCGCAGAGTTGCCAGACGAAGGGAAGAGCTAAAGAACAAGGGTCGACTTGGGAGTAAGGCCACAGGTGGACAATGAATGGCCCCTCTCAGAGGAAATAAAAGAGGAGCAAAAGGGGAGTGGAGTTTGCAGGAGACAATCAGTTCGCTTCATTAGTTTGTGACTCTCCGAGACTCCTTGCCAAGTTCTGCAGATATCGGCCTGGCAGCTTGCCAAGCCAAGAAAGGGCTTTTGCTTTAAAACCCCCCCCCCCCTTG